TTGCTTTGGCTGTGGCTTTGGCTGTATTTGTTCTGGGAGCAAAGAAAGCTTCTCCATTTTCTCTTGTGGAATGCCTCCAGCTTCCTCTCTCATTCAGTGGTAGAGGAGCACTGAATTGCCTTGTGAGTCTCCTGCTTTCTTTGATTGTCTCCATTGTCAGCGCATTCAAAGGTCCTTGCCCTTTTGTTATTGTATTCTTAATACAGAAGACAGAGTGTGATCTTTTGGGGACTCTGAGCCCGTAATGTCTGGCCTTACAGATGACACAGTTCTTGAGTGGATCAAAGGCTTCTGCTATCCCTCCTTCCAGTGCTGTTTGCGGTCCTTCTTCTCTCGCTCTCTTTGATGATCTTGGGTTGTTGTTGTTGGCGAGTTGGAATGCTCTCTTCTGTTGTGGATTTCGATTCTGACTCTGGCAGCCCATCCCTTCATTTTGTGTTGTTGCTGCTGCTGCTGTTGGTGGCTCCATGATGCTGTCTTCTGCTGCTGCTGTTGGTGGCTTTTTGGCTGAGATAATGACTGTCGAGTGGCTCTCCGGTGGTGTTGCCGGTGGTGTTGTCATTGTCGATCGACTCCGATGGAATCTTTCTTTTCGAACGAAAGGAACACGAAATTTCGAACTTGATAGCACATTGTATCCGTAATATCTATAAATGGTACGTTAAGTATATTTGAATCTTTTGCGACATACTTCCTGACGTATTAGCTTGACTAACCAATCATATCACTGCCTTTCACCCCTTTTCGGCTGGGATATTTTGATCATCTTCTGACAACAATGCCAGCATCTCCGAAAGCTCTCGGAAGCTGATAAGAATTGTAGGGTTCTTTGAATGAATAGCACAGGTATCTGAGCACATGTAGTACTGGATAGCTCAGGAATCGAGATGATGATTGAGGGTCACGCTTTCAAGCTTTCAAGAGGGAAAACAAGACTAAGCTTTGTGCAAGCAAGGTACTGTAGGAGTGGATCGGTCTCTTGCTGTTGCTTGTAGCTGACATCTGAGAATACTTGCACGAGGGCTTGACCTTTGGGGCCTAGCTAGCAAGTACAGTACCTGATGGATATCCATGCCATCGACTGGCTATATCATCAAGAAGGGTTGTTTGCTTGCTACTAGTAGCTAGAAAAGCAAGCTTTAGGCTTTGGAGGGAATTTTATCCAGCCTGATTCGATTCGATTCGATTCTGGTGACTACAAAAGAGACCCATCTTATTGCTTGGATCCATGCCAGTTCCTTTGCTTGGCCTGATGAGAGATGACTGTATCGGTAAATAATCGTATCGACTTTTGCTTGAGGTTCTGTGGAGTGTGGGGTCGAGTCATGCATGGTGTGGAGCTGGCCAAAGGAGCATGTGTGCGCGCTTTGGTCATTGCCGAAAGAAAGCCTTCGAAATTCAAATCACCCAACGGCAATCACCACCACAAAATCGAAACAAAACACACAATTCTCATTCTTCACATCAGCCGACAGAGGGTTGTAGAATTGAATTGTCGTGCTATCTGCATCTAGCTAGTAGACTATCTGTTGTGGACCATGGTGAAGTACCGACGGGGCAAGTCTCTTCCCGTGGACCAAGAATCTCCCGATATTTCGGGCAATGAGAGCAGTAGCACGACGTGTACAACGACAACTACTACATGTGCTACAAGTGAAGATGTGTTTTATTCTCCCATTCTCAAACCCTTATCCACCACTCCTACATGTACTACTCCAACGGGAGCCTCGGTTCCCAGCATGATTTTCAACTTGATCAAGAACATTGTCGGTGCCGGTGTCCTGGGCTTGCCAGCTGGCATTGCGGCGTTTGGTGATGCTCCTTCGGCTGTTCTTCCAGCGATTGTGTTGATTGTGTGGATGGGCAGTATGAGTGCCTACGGATTCTCGCTGATTGGACGACTGTGTGCGTACAGTCAGGCACAGTCGTATGCCGGAGCCTGGCAAGCCGCCACTGGTTCTAGCGCTAGTAAATGGATTCCTACCATGGCCTGTATGATGGTCACCTTCAGTCTCTTGCTCAGTTATTCCATGATTCTGTCACGAACCATTCCCGATCTCATGCTCTATCTACATCCTCAATGGCAT